ACAGACCATGACCTAGCAGTTTGTCGTACAATAAACTGCATGTTCTCTCACAGCTGGAGAAGGAGAAGGCAGCTGCAGAAAGCCCAAGTTGAGCTTGGCCTCCCAGAGCACTTGCTGGTGACAGTAAGTTTATTATTAGTTCTTCTATTGTATAGTAAATAAAGTATAATAAAACCATACGATTATAAAACACTAAAAGGTAGTTTACTTTAAAAGATATTTGGCAGAAAAACAAATGTTTTTGTTTTGCTTTGTAGAACAGCTTAAAGAGAAAGTTTGATATTTTCTTGTTCTTGAGACACATTTACATGATTTAATATCATTTATAATAAATCCTAAACAAATTAAATGTTTGATGCCTTTTTACTTCGACGTATGAATAGTATTTAGGCTATAATACCACAGCTTATGCATTTTTTAATTATTATTTTGAATGATGATGATAATAATAATAATATATTTATTTTCTCCCTGAGGATTGTGCAACTCGCTGGGGCTCCAAGCAGAAAATGATTGATAGGATGCTAGAGCAGAGGCCAGCCATCAATCGAGTTCTTTCTGATGACCATAAAGCGTAAATGTGAACATCACATGGTAAGACAAAGATGTGTTGTGATCGTTGAACAAAGCGTTAAAGCCAATGAGCAAGTTCACAGACAAGAATTATGTAACCATGCCATCTCTTCTCCCTGTGCTGCATCTCATTAAAGAGGACACATCGGCCCCATCGGATGAGGATGGACAACTGACAGCCAAACTGAAAGCCAGCATCATATAAATTTTAGACGAGAAAACTGAAGCTCTGCCAGAAGCAAGCCGGCAGCTTATGCGCAAGGCAACATTCCTGGACCTGCGCTACCGGGGTGACTACGACCTGAATGTTGAGGAGACCAAGAGGATGATAGAGGAAGAAGCAGTTATCCTCGGTAGGAGAGCGCAGTCAGTGCACCCATTAAGAGAAGAAAATGAGGAAAAAAAAAAAAAAAACTTTAGCAAGTTTATTAAGAAGAAAAGCAGGCACTGACTATTCCAGAAAAAGTGGTGACGGAAATCGCCATCTATGCTCAGGAGTCCCCCATTAACGCAGAGCAGGATCCTCTCATCTGGTGGAAAGAGAATCAAAATAGGTTCCCCTGTTGGCAAAAGGAGACAGAAATATCTTTGCGTGTGTGCAACAAGCTGTACATCCAAGAGGGTGTTCAGCACGATGGGGAACATGGTCACCCCAACAAGATCCCATCTTAAGCCAGAGAGGGTCAACATGTTGGGTTTCCTGACAAAGAACATAGACTATGCAAATACTGTCACTAAAAGCCAATTTATAGTTGTATTTCCTTTTTGTTTTAATTTTGAAAAGACTGTTGACTTTTGCCATTTATAAGGTGATTTTGGAAGTTTTTTTTAACATTTTGTTTCTTTGGTTCAACAGTTTGCTGATTTTCAGGTTTTTTCAGCCTATAGCATGGTGTATTTTAATTGTTTTTTTGTTTTTTTAAAATAAAAGTTTTATGTTTAATATAAGTGAGTTTATCGTTTGTTATTGTCCATTCAAGCAATTGACACCGAAATGCCGCTAATTCGAAAGCGCACGGGCATTTATAAGCTATTTAAAAGTGAAGGAAAGCGAGGATAAGAGGGAAAACTCCAACAAACACAAGCAGCACCCCCCTCCCCGTACCGTCCGGTTATACCGGTATTACCGGTGTTGTCACACGTTGATTAACCAGTGGGAATATTTCCTCACCATCACAAGGGCAGGTTATCTTTCAGCTTAAGCCTTGAAATAGTTTTCAGATTTAGAGGCGTGTCCAAAAAAGAGTGTTTTATAGGATGTAACTTCATTGGCTGGTTGCATAAAATGCTTAGACTAGTCTAAGTTATAGTCTAAGTTACATCAGTTACATAAAAACATAGATTGGTCTAATTTGAATCTGAAAAGTAAGACTGATTACCACGTGGTTAACTGCTAGTTAGTCAAAGCATAGATTGTCTTACTATTGGGAGATGAGAGGGTCTATATTACTTACTATTGGAGAAAGCGTAACGGTCAACTTGGATCATGTGATCAGTGACTTCTCTTATAAAACTGCATTTTTTCCCCGGTGTAAACTCTAAAAATCTTTAAATCAAAACATTTTGAAGATTAGCCTATAGGCTGTCGATTCATTAATGATAAGCTGTTTCCTAAAAAGCTGTTTATTCAACGTAGTGAAGCCTCTCCTCCATTGACATCCATTTAAAAAAATGGCCTCTGGTCTCCTTTCTCACATACCGCCAAAGCGGAAGAGTTAGCAGTAGCCGTTACGCTTTTTTGGCTAAAGGTTGTAGGCTTGCCTTCTAGTGGCTTTGGTCAAAGTTCTTAAAGGCACAATATGTAAGTTTTCGCCTCTAGAGGTCGCATTTTCAAAACAATAACAAAGGCAAAGCTTGATGATGCTATGAAGGGGAGTGGAACGGTGGGAGTTGTCATTTTCAAAATCCAGAGATGTATGGAATTCACGAAACTTGTTCACGGATGAGATTAACCATTTTTTTTTATTATCTGTATGTTTGTTTTTTTATTATCACACTATTTTGTCATCATAACGAATTAGCTGCAAGGAACGTCAAATTTAAAGCTAGCCTGTTACTGATATGTGACTATTTGTCAAATAATTTGGTGTATAAAACAATCATACTTAAAGTAAATTTGAACAAATCCACAGTATTTGCAAGCAATGGTTTAATATTTTTGTGCAACACATACTGTATTTAATTACACTGCCACATACTTGTTCACCAGACTAAAAAAACATTTGCCACATCATTGTATGTTCTAACATGTATTGATAAAAAGCTAAAGTGATTGACGACCAACAGACCAACTATATAGCTTGCGAAAAACAGTCGACCCTTCAAAGCTCTCACTCCGGAGGGTAAACCCTTTGAAGGGATTAGGGCATAGGGATGAGCCCTTCCTTATGGAACGCAGGGAGTATGTGAGGCGAGTAGTACGTCCGAATTCATAGTATTCGAAAAACACGACCTACTACTTCCGCCCGAATTCCGTAGCATGCATATGATGGACACTTTGCCATGAGGCCACGGGAGAGGAGTCATCATATTCGAAAATGGCACAACAGCCGCGTAAGTATCTTAGGGAAAATCGTTGTTCATTGTGGTTAAATTGTACTTGTTTAACATAATCCAAGTAAACGACTGACTTGTTGAAGGTTTACACAATGTAAACCGATGAGACGGTTTTGTGAATTGAGTGTAAAAAAGATGTTTAATCATTATTACCGATCAGATGGAGTTAACCTCAATGCAGGTGCATCAGCTTGTTATACTCCAGGACGCGGACTACTTGTATTTATACTACTGAAAATGTATGCTGGTGGTCCGCTTGGCGGACGTGTTCCACACATGCGCAGTAGTCGATCGGATTGAACAGTAAAAACAGAAACAGTCCATGCAGTAGGAAGAGCTGCTTTGTCTGCTGTACTTAGCTAATTCACAGAAAAAATAAGAAAAGGCGGAGCGCATGTTCCAGCGCATGCGCAGTTGGTGCTTTTGTAGCCTACTGTCAGCGCATACTTATGCGCGGTCAAAAAAATGGGAGGCATGCGGATGTTTGGCCTGAGCCTCCGCGAAACCCTCCGATGAAGATTTGCGGACTCTTGCGCAAGAAGAGAATATAAGAGGCTTAACGCAGTCAATCCCATTACAGATTTACTAACTACAGTAGGTGACAAAGAACTGCTTAACATTACACCATTGCATACTGCGTCATCTAACAACACCTATTACAATAGTAATTATAATACAAAATATGCTGTAATTCTGTTCCAATCATCTGTACATGACTATTACTTGTACAATAAATAATATATATTTGCTTACCAGTCTATTAAAACACATTAAAACACATAAGTTTGTCGCGAAGCACTCTCCATCTCGAAAACGCCACACCGATATTGATCCTTGTTTTATTTCTCCGTTTGTACCAAAGGCTCCTTGCCTCAGTTTATTTACGTTTACGTTTTTTTTTCGATTTTCTGTAGGCTACTCGCCAATGAATAGTCGTGATCCATTGATGATGATTGAACGACACAACAGCGGCACACTAGTGTAATGAGTGGGATGTTTAGTCCACTAGGTGGCAGTAATGGATTGTATAAAGTCAAGTGCATTTGCTAAGGAGTGGTGTGGTAATTTATAGATGATGAATGTTCCACGTGGAATAAAGAGGCCAGCACCAGTAATACCTCTTGATATTGGTTTCTTGTCTGGTTATTGAATAATACAACTAGATGCTGTATAACGCGTAAAACAATGGAAAAGTAGCGCAGTGGAATGAAAAACGACCCCTTCAAAGACGCAGACAGTAAAGTAAAGTTAATGTTTTCAAGTCAGTGTCCCTACTGGTACAGGTTGTAACTAGAAATACCTCTATGTAAGATTTTGTAAGATAACAGAAGGTGTGAATCGATTTACGATTCAACCGGATTCATTCAGACAGTTCACTCACAGGCTGAATTTGCATTGGTTTCTCAAGTAAAACTGCATAGTCTCAGGCGAGATACTGCATGACTGGATATTTTATAACACGAAGAACTGGAGAACGTGAAATAAATCTTTATTAACCACACACCAAACAGGCTATATGTACTTCAGATACATTAATAAGCGGACAAAACATTTATCTAAATCAGGCATGCCAATCCTGTTCCTGGAGATCTACGTACCTGAAGAGTTCAATTCTAACCCTGCTCCAGCACACCTGTCTGTAATTATAAAGTGCTCCTGAAGATCTTAATTAGCTGGTTCACTCGTGTTTGATCAGGGATAGAGGTTGAACAGAAGGAATATATAAATATATACTTAATATAATGTTTTAAAAACTTATACCAATACTATACCAAATCTGTAGATACATAATTTTATACTTGGATATATTAACACCATAAGATTTAATTCAAATAATTATAATAATCAAATAATTTAATTCAAAATCGGTCTATAGTAGAGATTGCAGATTTACAAAGAAAAATAAGAATATAATAGGGATTTTTTTTTTTGTCTTTGTGTTGATTCAAAAACAAAGTGGTGCTGTGGAGGGTCTGACACATGATCCTGGCAATGCGGAGGGTCTGGGCTGTGACCCTTATTCTATGAAATGCCAATATTTTGAATCCGACAAGGATCTGTATCTTGACAATTCCTTTGGGGGACGTCTTGGTAATGGCGTTGGGTGGAAACTGGGTGGTGGCCCTGGCATTGTGGCCCTGGACCGTGGCTGTGGTGCTGTAGAGGAAAGCAAAGATACTAATGTGTCACTGTCAAACAGTCAAGGAATAATAAAAGCTTTAAAAACAAACCCCTGATATAGTTCTTCAGTGAAATTGTGACACTGAAGAAATCAAAGTTTTAGATTTACTCCCAACTGGGACAGCAAGCGTGTACCAGCTAGTTTAGAATAGTGTACAGCTTAATGCATGTGAAGGATCTGATTAATCACATGATGAAAGAAATGTTGCATGAGCTACCTGAATATAATGGCGGAATCAAACATCACTGTGTGTGCATTTTATTAGATGAGACTTACATTTTATGCTCTCCTCAGAAGTGGAAATGATCTTAAAGTTTTGCACTATGGAAACCAACAGACATTTAAAGTATTATTTTTTACATAAAGAGAAAACTCACATATAAAGTAATGTGTAAAAGCCTCGTTATATGCTTTACATTAGTTTTAAGATGGTTGTCTCAGTTGGAAACATCAGTTTTAGATTTCCAAACATTCCTTTTGCAAATATTACATGATGCACCTCTAATTTTGAACATCTCCAGGAATTTACCTCTATTAGATATCATTTCTGTCAATTCTTTGCAGACTTCCTCAAGTTTATTTTTTAGCAGAAGGACAGATTTTCCCACATCGTCATATAAGAGGTGAGAATTGGCTGTGATTCTGGGCACATCAGTAGTTTGTGGAGGATCAGAGCAAGACTCAAAGCTCTACAGGAAAAAATCAAACAAACATTAAAATAAAGACACCTCTAGATCACTGTCCTGCTTTTCTCAAGCTCTCTTACCAGAAGAAAATGGATGTGATCATCTGTTTGTAAAAGCTGCTCCAGTTCAGTGTCTCTCCTCCTCATGTCATCAATCTCCTGCTCCAGTTGCTTCATGAGTATTTCAGTTTGACTCACTGCAGCTTTTTCCTGATCTCTGATCAGCTGTGTGATCTCGGAGTGGCTTCTCTCAATGGAGCGGATCAGTTCAGTAAAGTTCCTCTCAGTGTCTTGCACAGCTTTCTCTGCAGAGTGCTGTTAGGACACATTACACAGTGATCTTCAGTGGGACTGGAAGTGCACTGGGATCACTGATTGGAAGAGAGTATTAACTGACCATGAAACTTTTCCACCAGTTGGCAACTCACCTTATGAGTCTTCACAACCTCTCTCAGCTCCTGAAGATCTTTCTCTCTCTGCTGGATTCTCTCCTGGAAGTCTCTTTGAGTTTGTTCCAGATGTTTCTATTGAACACAGAAATAACTTTAAGCTAAGAAGTGTTGTTTTCTGAATGAAATCAGTTCTCTTTTTTTTACGGAATAAAGAGGAGTTCTTTCTTTGATCCACTCAATGCAAGAAATGCGAGTTCCGCACAGATGTAGCAGGAATGCCTGCATCTGAGGTTGTGCAGTATTAACTTCTGAGCAATTCAGACCGAGAAATTACTTCAGGAAAGGCAACTTTAGGAAGCACCAAAAATGTGGCCAAAATACGAACAGAAACCATTACTTTAACAGATCCGATAACAGAATGTCATGCAGCATAATTTATTATACAAATAAATGCTGAGCCAGGCATGGTTTAGCCAGCATCTGACAGTAACCGTATTTACCCAACAGCCATTATTTACACATTCATTATGGGGAAGGTGAGGGGAAATATCCAGTAGATATTACAATTATTTAGGGAGAAAGTATATGTTGCGAATTTTTTATTTCAGTGCATACCTGAGACTATTTCAAAAGACTTGTTTCACTAAGCTAAAGTAAAACGTAAATCATATCAGTAAAACGTTAATCACATCAGAGATTAATACATAACATAGACTATTTATAAATAGTCCATGTTTAGACCATGTTTGTTGTGCATAACTTTATTAACATTCATGAACCAAGATTTGGCCATTTTGTAATGTCATCAGCACCCTGTCCCATAGCTTTCTCCTATATTTCCGCCTCCTATTGCTAGCTAAAAAGTGCCTCGTATTGGTGTACAAATATTAATATTTCTCAAACTAGAAAAAAGTGAGTGAAGCAGTTATTACATATCATTTATAATGAAAAAGAAATAACATCTTAAAATAACAACAATAACCAATAGTAATTTTTGTATTTACCTGTTTCTCTGTCCTCTCATCTATAGCCGTTACGGTGTTGTGGGTTTTGTGTGTATTTACTGCACACAAATAACAAATATAGAGCTGGTCAGTCCGGCAGTAGATTTCCAGTTGTTTATGATGTTGAGGACAGATCATCTGCTGCTGTCGCCCAGTGGCATCCATCACTTTGTGTGGTTTGTTTGAGCGAAATTCTTCATGACGGTCAAAAGGAGTCTGACAGGAGGCACCAGCAGGAACAGCAGTTTGTAGTTTAGTCTTCTTCAGGTTCTCCACCAGTTGATCAAACACCACATTCTTACATAAGGCAGGTCTTGGACTGAAGATCTTTCTGCACTGAGGACATTTGTAAAGTCCCCTCTGATTCTCCTGATTCCACCAGCCTGTAATACAGTTCATACAGTAACTGTGTCCACAGGGAATGGTCACTGGATTCTTCAGTAGATCCAGACACACTGAACAGGTGAACTGGTCCTGTCCCACTGAAACATTGGCTTCTGCCATGTCACTGCGTATGAACACTGACCAAACAACTCAAACAACAGCTCGACAATAACTAACGCTGCATGCAGCTTCTTTGTGCTAAATAGCTGAAATAGTTTCCGCGTTCTGTTTACTGTAAAATGTTCAGGAAGAAAAAAAAAACTGGTTTGATGGGAACTGGTTTCAGGGAATTTGAAAGTTTTTTTGTATCACAAGTGAAACTGTGAAACTGAGTTAGAGGCAGTCACTCCAAAACACTGTTTTCAAACCATGATGACCTCACATCTGCAAAAGTTGGCCAGTGAATTTTGATTTGAGCTAATTATTTATTTATTTAACATGTCCGTGTGAGAAATATTTACAATATATTTTGTAGATGCAATTTTTTAGCCAGCAGCCTATTAATAAAATGATCTAGGTTATTACCCAGACTTTCAAGGTCATGGTTTGGCTGGTTAATTTCAGAAAGTTATCATGCTGGTAGATGCTTTAACCAGAGCCCCAGTTATGTAGGCCTACAATGACAATGACAAAGATTTCAGAACTATGATGACTGATCCAAATTAATCACTTTTTAAAGTCGGTTCTTTTTAATGAGCAAACACTTCTTGGATGATTCAGAGGACGAGTCTTCAATTTTGAGTAAGTTCAGTAATATAGAAAAAAGTACCATACTTCTGTTTCATATGGGTACGTTTTTTGTTTTTGTTTTTTCACAAAAATGTGAATGTCACACAAATGTATGAATGTAGTGAAAACAGGTCAGACTGCAAAGTGATCATTCCTATGCATGTGTTGTAATTTATTACAATGTATCCAAGAAAAGAAAGAAAAAAAGAAAGAAAGAAAAGGCAAAAAGTAAAGTCACAATTATTTAGTCACAATAATTAGGCTAATTAGAGATCATACTAGCAAAGAGTCTAATGAGTGATCTCTGGTGGCAAACATGTGACATGACACTTGAATAGGTATTATTATACATCATCTTGATTGTTGCTTCTTTTCAGAGCTCATCTTTCAGAGTGTGAATTTAATTATTCACCTGTGGAATCACAGTTATTGAGGAGCTATTAGACTATCGACTTTATTGTGTGCTGTAGCCTATTATATGAAGTTATGTTATTTAAAATTCAAATCAGGCAGTGGACAAACAGCCTCATTTTATTTTATGAAAGTTTGACTATTGTGTCTTTTCACTTTCAAAAGCCTTGGGAAAGCTGCTCCTTCAGGAACCATATCAAAAGATAACATAGACAATCAATATTGTTTATTGCATATGTATCAATATTGAATTAGCCTTTGGAGATTTGCTAGAAAAATGTATATATGTTTACTTTATTCCTGCATGCGAGAATTATAAAGGAAATGACAGCATTGATTATTTGATTAAAGTCCTGAATGCACAGCAAAATATGTATGGAGGACGTCATGGAGGGTTATACAGCATTAGTGTGCAGTGTCTCCATCTAAAGGAAAGAAATAGGCATTACACTGTTCAGCTTACCAAAAGAAACTAAATTTCCTACAGATTTTTTGCAAACAAAAGGACGTTTAGCTTATCACTTTGTGTAAAAACTTTTCATTAAAAAATATTGTGTTTACTGTGTTTTTAGAGACCACGGACTAATTAAACTTTGTTTTAAAAAAAGAAAATTGCATAGACTAATTTTTTTTTTTAAAGCAAACCTATGTTTAATGGTTGAGATGAACTTGCAACATGTATTATTCAGTGAGAGCTTAAGTAATTACTAAAAAGACTCAACTCTGACACTTTAAGTATTAATGAGCAAGTTTTGGAGCTAGTTTGCAGACTATTGTATTATCACTTTTGGTTTGGTAACTGTTGACAACATACAGACCATTATGAAGTTAATATGCAGTCCAATTCTTTTCATTTGAGAAACAATCTTTTCTGAGACTGCAGAGAATAGTAAATCACTGATATCATGACTGTGTTGTGACCCGACGAATGCTGTAGTGAACTAGCTACAGGACAATTTCAAAGGCTGACAGCAGTCATGTCTTATCATGTCCTCCCCAGTAACATAAACCTCAATTTACTCTGGAGGGACGGTTTAGTTAGTCTGTAAATTGCTTTAGATAAAAAGCTTCCACCACATAGTAAGTTATAACCACAGTTTAGATGTTTCCCTTCCTATCTGTCCTTTGCAATGCATACATTAAAAGTCATATCCCAAAAGAAGAAGAAAAAAAAAAGCTAATGGCATTTCCCAGATGTCTTTTGGTTTCCATTTTCACCTTGATCTCCAGTGGTGTATCAGCTGTTAAAGGCACTTTGCCAGCTGGCATTCTTCCAGCAGCCCTAAAAGCCTCGTTTCTGAAAATATGAAATCTAGAGCATTTTGTTTGTAGGACCTTGGAATGACCTTGGATGAAAATGGGATGACATTTTCCTTGAGCTGAGGTCTTGCGTCGAATGATTAGCCTACCTGTTATTAGTTTCTGTGCTACTTACAGTAAGAAAGTCAGAATTTCTTGTTGGAAGGTCATGCTAATTTTATCTGATCTTCATTAAAGCTTTTTCAAGCACTCTATATTATTCAGTCTGAATATGTTACCCCGCATGGAGATATTATCTGTAAGACTGGTGTTCGTTTCAGAAGCTATGTAGATGGTGGTTGATGTGTGATGCTATTTTATGTGTGAAAGTTGTTGAGATCGAAGAGCTGTCTAATCATGTATTTGCATATTGTCAAAAAGTACTGAATTATTTCTAGAATATCAAAGTGAATATCTTAAGTGATCATAGTAGTTCTTCAACCTAAAATTAAAAAGAAAATAAATCCCAAAGTCTTAGTTTAAAATATGAAAATATTTTAGTTACTCTGTAGATACTTATATTCAAATGACAGAGTTACTGGTATGTACAGACAGTATATAGGGAGTTATAGGATGTCCCTATACTGTAAGTTTGAACGCCATGTTGAGGAAGCACAACCAGGAACATATATGCTAAACCAGGAAGAATAGATAACATCGAAAAAATGATAGCTCATTTGATTTGTTCAAGGTTTATAGCAGGTGTGAATAGTAATTAACAATCATTTATCTGAAGGGCGGGGTTGGGTGGGGTTGCTATAAACCAATAAAGCTCGTTTGATTAGAGAGAATAACCACCCCACCCCCATGCTGTCAATTACTGTGTCACACACCCCTCACCACACAACACACTACACCACACCCACCATTTGGGGCGCTATTGGGTCCCTCCTGCACCTACCCGCCACAACCCTGGCAGGGAGCCCAAGTAAATTCCAGCTTCACAGGTTTCCTCAATTCCCTGGGGGTCTGTAGCACTGATCAACACCTGTACCTATAACCCCAGGGTGTCCAACGTAATGTAAAAAATTTCTACCAAATGTGTCTGCAGTCACGCAAGGAGCTGAAGAGAAAACACTCACAGTTGTGCTGTTTACTTCACTTATTTTTGTGGTTATTTCCCATATTGTGGCTAATGAATCAGAAGTCTGGCATATTCAAAGAACTTACTTCCACATTGCAAAATAAGGCGGATTAAAAAAGAAAATGTAGATATTGAAATTATAATGATGTAAATGAGCTTTATTGGAGCAACCCCACCCGACCCCACACTTCACATTAACTTGTTAATCACTGTTTTCACCTGCTATAAACCGTATAGCATAAAGAGAAATAATTTATTTAAAATTATACCATAACATTTTAAAACAAATAAACTGCTTTGCAAAGTACATTAATAACAAACTCAGAACTGAAAATACACTCAAGTGTTGTTGTCTTGTTTTAAAATTCAATACGATCACACCTAAACTGAAGCATCACTGGTCACTGAAGAATCACACAGCAGTTGTGTGTGTGTGTGTGTGTGTGTGTGTGTGTGTTTTAGAGGTGTGTGTGTGTACTGTTTCCGGCCACATAAATATTTATATACATAAAAATAAAAAGACCAAACGGCTGTGAGTAAAGTAATTGCATTTGATCTAATGTTTTCCAGCTTTAGACTGTTTAACAATAGCTACAACAAGTGTTGGGCAGTAACTAGCTAGTTACTGTAATAATATTACTTTTTGCAGTAACTAGTGTAACTAATTACTAATAAGATTTCAGTAATAGTTACAGTTACTTTTGATGCCTCAACCCCTACTGATTTGAAATCCAACAATCCAATAATTCCTAGATTTATTTTCATAATTTTCACGACTCGCACAGGCACATGAAGTCACCAGTGCATCAGGAAAGCTTGGAATATGGAAAAGCTTACATTCAGCAGATATTGCCATATGATTTTGTCATGAGAAAAGGTGATCTGAACACATACAACAACCTTGGAAAAAAATCTTCATGGAATTGTGTATGGGCAGGTTGTTTTAAGTATTGTTAGGGACAGCTGAAGACTGTCCCTAAGAGCTGGAAAACATTAGCTCAAAGGCAAATATATTATGCCACTGACAGCCCCTAGGTCTTCTTAGCATATGCAGTCGGGCCCTTCTCAGCCTCTGGGCCCTATGCACTCTGACCCCATTCCCCCCCGGTTGCTACGCCACTGTATATATAAGTGCTCACAAACTAAAACAAAACAAAACAAAAACGTAGCATTTGTATTTCACATGCACAGTATTTGTCCGGTTCTCTGTATTTCCTTGCATTTGTTGGACATTACTAATAGATGGAGCATTGAGTAAATTAGTTTCATAGCAAAGAGCTCAAAAACATGTTTATCAAAATTATGCTGAAAACGAGCTAAGAATTAATGTTAAAACGTTAAACATTTAAGCACCTCTGTCAAAATACTTAGGTGTCTTGCTTAGGTTGTAAATTAGTTATGTTTTTATGTATTTCTATCAGCCTTTTTATCTAATGTTGGATACTTATTGCACAACTTCGCGCACTCGTCGAGACCTTTATTTTGAAAACATTCCTCAAGCGTGAACCATGACGACGCCTCTCACTGGCAGCCATTTTGTAGGTCACGCCTACCGGAAACGGTGTCTGCACCAGCACCGACAGCAGAATCAAAATCGAAGGAATCCCGGTCGAGGACCGTCACGTTTCGCTCGTCTCTCCCACTCCCATCGCGGACACCGCGGTTTCCTCTGCGGGTCGAACGCCTTTCCACGCCGCCGTGTCGGAGGACCGACCGCTGGAGCGCGGGTGGATTTTCCAGAGAGAGGGGGAAGAAGGAGGAAGGGCAGGTCCCTCATCATCACCACCACTTTCACTCCCTTCATCATTTCCAAACATCATCATCATCAACAATGCGACGAGGCGTGTCTGCGCTCCCTAGAAACATACCGGAACACTAAACCAGCAGCAGCACCGAACAAAATGCATCGCGTTGACCGCACGCCGAGCCCTGACGCCGTTTGATGTAGCACGTTTTATTTTTTATTTATTTTTTTGATCTGGAAATTTCTTGACTTTGTTGAGAGAGCGAGCGAGCACTGCGACCTTGCATCCAGCTGAATGAACGATGCGGACTTTACCAGCACCCTGATTTAGCACCGCATTTCCCACGGATGTCCCTTTCACCACGCCAAACAGCTTCTCTTTTCTCCGATCTGCGTGTTTTTATGGGAGTGACGGATAGCTAGTAGCCGAGACAAAATGTGGAAATGGAGGCGGCTGATGCGGTTGTCCAACCGCTCCTTAATGGCCTTCATCTTTTTCTTCTCCATGTCCACGACCTGCCTCTACTTCATCTATGTGGCCCCCGGAATAGGTAACGTGAAGCGCGTCTGATAACTCATGTTTCTCGTGTGCGAGTGATGCGATTAAACGCGCGTTAATCGTGTTTCATTCATCACTGACTCCAGATACTGAGCATCACCTCCCAAACGAGCACTAGTGATAGGTTGTGTTTAAAAACCCAGTGAGCTGCCTAACTAAACAGCCGTTATACTGTGATGGTCAGAAATGCTAAACGCGTCTGTAATGACCAACAGTGCTATCTAGTTAGGCGCCTCATTAGGTTTTAGGACGCAGTCGGTGTGCTAGAAAATTAAATTAGATTTGGAAATTGAAAACCCCATTGAATGGTTTCTTGCTAGGTTTACATCGTCCTTAGCCGACAACTATTTTGACCAAGTTTGTATATTTGAGGTAATTATGGGCTGTTAATGTGTTGAGATAAATCTCAGTTAGCTCTTGTTGTATCTGTGCATTTATCAAAAACCCCATGACTACAGTACGTTTATTTCTCCTTTATCTTTATTTACCACAGTTTTTGATGTGTAGTAAGAACATATTAAACCCGCTATGGTTTCTCATTAGCATATGGTTTCTATAAAGCAAAGTAGCATTTGTTCATACCACCCTACATGCATTTATAAATCATAACTGGTGTCCTAATTCTACTAAAAATTAAGTGTAACATTTATATGCAATATTTTTTATACAAATACTAGCTGTATACCCTTGTGAAAAAACATACTTTTTAAAAAGTTTTTAAAAAGTATGGTATGCACGTTATTTACAATTAAATGAAAATTATTTTAGTTAAACTTTATATTAAATGCGGTTAGTTTAACTTTGGTTGGACTTAAATGGGTCATATGATGCGATTTCAATTTTTCCTTTCTCTTTGGAGTGTTACAAGCTCTTGGTGCATAAAGAAGATCTGTAAAGTTGCAAACACTAAAGTCTCAAATCCAAAGAGATATTCTTTATAAAAGTTAAGAGTCAACCACGCCTACCTAAAACGGCTCGTTCTAACACGCCCCCACATGTCTACGTCACGATGTGGGAAGATTTGCATAACGTCGCCCAAATGTTCAAGCAAAGAAAGAAGGCGTAACTTTTATTCTCACTGCAGTATTGTTGTTGCCGCCGACGCCATGTTGTGGAGACGCTGTGTGTTTCGTTGTGAAAGCGAAACTACTTTGTTTGGCCTTCCAAAAGAGGACACAACTAGAAATCAGTGGTTAAGTTGTATTTACAACACTGTTCCAGAACAGTTCAACCCAAATATTCAGATGTGTGCAGCGCATTTTATGGAGGACGGATGAGGACTGTTTCCTGAACCAGTAGCCTAATGCGTCTGTGGCACAAAGGCTGTTTCTATAGTTTCAACTTTGCAAGGACAGTATGGCGCTTCTGACTCACAGCCTTGTAAGTACGTTTTTTATATTTAAAAAATTTGCCA